TCAAAATTGGTGAGAACGAGGAGTGGAGTTGGAAATGCTGATGAAAACAGGAATCAAATACCAGTAATTGAACAAATACCTGTTGTAGCAGCAGTGCCTGAACCAATGACAATGGTCGGAGTTCAAGTGATGATCCAGGCAATGTTGAATAATCAGATGGAAGAAACCAGACGTCTGATCAGGTAGAATCGCGAGGAATTGTCAATTCAAGTTGAAGAGCCAGAAGTAAATGGAGGGCAGTCTGAAGGAGGAAACTACAGTGGGACCGTTGGTCAAGCCAACCCACCGATAGTTCACCAAAACAACCAGGATAGAGGAAATGATGGACGTGGATGCAAGTACAAGGATTTCATGGCATCCAAACCACCGTGTCTTTCTGGGAGCCCGACACCGGTGCAAGTCATGGACTGGATCTCCGAAATGGAGACAATGTTTGAAAGTTGCGAGTGTAGCAACAGACAGAAGACCGCTCTTGCAATCCCTCTGTTAAAATCTGGAGTATTGAGCTGGTGGAAGTTATTTGCTGGTTCGATGCCTAAGGGGGAAGCTAGCAAGATGTCTTGGGAAGAATTCGTGGTGCAACTGAAATTGCAATACTGCTCTGAGCAAGATCTTCTGGAAATCAACAATGAGTTCCAGAATCTGAAGAAAGGAAAATTGAGCGTTACTGAATACGCTACGAGCTTTACGGAGAAGATGAAGCTTATTCCACACCTAATTCCAACTGAGCTTTCCAAGGTCAACAAGTTTGCCAATGGATTACCAGCGGACTTTGGTCCAATAGTCAAACAAGCAACCACTCTGAAAGCCGCCATCTGGGCAGCCAAGAATGTTGAGACCCAAATAAAAGAAAAGGGTCTGGGAAGAGCTGAAGTTGGAGAGAAAAGGAAGCATGAATGATCTTTAATAATCGACAAAGAAAGTAAATTCTCGAAATCTGGGGGAAGAGATGAAGCTAAGTGGTGTGAGAAGTGTAAGAAGAAACACTTCGGGAAATGTAGCGAGGAGATGACTTGCTACAAATGTGGGAAGACAGGGAACTACGCCAACAAGTGCGCACCTATCAAGAAGGTGTGCTATAGGTGTAATGAAGAAGGTCATATTTCTAAAGACTGCCCACAGAAAAACACGCCTCCACAGCCAAGGGCATTCAACATGTTCCTCAACGAAGTAGAAAAGGATGGGAGGATTAAAAGATGAAGACTTCATATTAATATATAAAGTTTGTATCAGGAAGCATAGCCTGTTAGAGGCATAGTATAGGGTGAACTTGAACTTTTGTGTAATAGTTTCAAGATTTAATATAAACCCTGGTTTTGTTATCTGATGTTTTAAATGATTATATGATTTATGTATGGTGACTTGGTTAACTGCGAGACAATACTTGGGACGAGTATGAGTAGGTGTGAATGGTAGTAGAGATCTATACTACCGGAAGAACAGGACTCACGCTTGGATCAGGGGAAGTCACAAGGTTATCAAGAAGCTAGTAATTGATTTCGTTTTATTTATGTTTGTCATTTCCCTTGTTTCGGTAATGACTACTAGGATGATGGTTATTCCGACCCTAGTGGTCATATTAATTGAGTCCGACCACGATGAGAGGTCATCGGGGCACGACCCATCGGTTAGTTACAATAGATAAATGAATGTATTTATCCTTAGAAGAAGAAGGAGTCCACAATAAGGATTTATTTTGTAACTTAAAGATGTCGATCTAAAGTCCAACGTAGTACGAAGAGCAGATGCAAGGCTGAGCATCAAGGTTATTACTTAGCATGGAGAGATAACTTATGGAGTCAGTATACAAATCCTATTTCGTTGATGATTCCGGGACGTAATCATCCTAAGGGGGAGATAATTGTAACGCCCGTAGATCAGGGCTAGTCAATTTAGAGACAATAAGCATCAAAAAATGACTTTTTGATATAAGATTATTTAGGATGAGTAAACCTAACTAAGTTGTAGTATATGTTACAAGGTTTCTGTGCATATAAAGAACGCCAAAATCCGAGTTATAACGAAGAAGTTATGACTTGTTAAAGTTTCGCGACAAAACCGGCACAACGCTGAATGACGTAAAAAGTGAATTTACGTTAGAGTGATATTTAGCCTTAGCGATCTAAACGAGAATCGAAGATCTCGTTGTTAGTAGCGAAACGACGAAAAGTTAGGCAAGAACGGACGTCAGACGAAGAAGTTATGAATTTATAACGAAATTTTCTGTCCCGACCTATTAAAAATAAATAATAAAAATAAAAGTCAAAATTTGCCGACGGAGTCTAAACGAAAGTAGAAGAGCGTAGTCTCACCTACACGTGGATATAAAGAACGTCGAAAACGGGGTTCGTATGAAGAAGATATGAGTTTTCAAAGTTTATTAATTAATTAATATTTAAATTTAATTATTAAATCCCGGTATTATCCGAAGGCGAGTCATCGGACTCATCCGAAGTACGCCCCGCATACGAGTGTACGCCCAGCGTACAGCGAAGCATGACGACCTTCGCACTCGAGTTCTTCGGATGACGCATGCAGTGACGAATTCGGACGCGTACGCCCCGCATACTTCGAGGCTCTAGCCTCCTATAAATAGGATGCGAGGGCAGCCGGTTCTTTTGTTCATTTTCTCTCTTCTCTCTCCCGTTTTACATCGATTTGCGTGCCAGAAATACCCCGAAGCCCCGGTATTATTCTCGAGCCCCGAAGCAAGTCCCGAGATCCCGAAGATCCCGAGAAGTGCGGTTCCCGAGCCGAAGCTCTGCCCGCGAGAAGTTCGATTTTTGTGGAGATCTTCCAGATCTACCGAAGAATACTACTTCTGCAAGTCGTAGTGTTGTCCGATCATCTTCTGATCAAGTGAGTGTATACTACCTTTCATAAACACGATAATAATACAAGTATGGTTTGAGTGTATTAAGTTTATTGTTGTTTATATGTGTGAGTGTGTAGTTACTTTCTTCTAACACATAAATATGACGTATTTGCTATGAAATACGTGCTATGTGTTTATATGTTATTTGTCTATTTGAGATGGGCATGGAAATTGGAGTTTTATACAGGTGTTAAATGATTTAAATTGTGTAAGTATTTATATCTACAAAATTGTTGGGTAGAACATAGGTAGATGGAATAGTTGGTGACTATGGAGTTAGCGCCTATTGTATAAACCTTGGTGACGATGTGACTTCGTGCCTATTTGATGAACCTTGGCGACTATGGAGTTAGCGCACGTTGAGTAAACTTTGGAGACTATGGAGTTAGCGCTTGTTGAGTAAGCCTTGGCGACTATGGAGTTAGCGCTTGTTAAGTGAACTTTGGTGACTATGGAGTTAGCGCCAGATAACTATGGATTTAGTACTTGATAAATAAGCTTTGGCAGCAATGGAATTCGTGCCAAATTCCTTACGAATAAATGAATGAAGGATAGTTGGTTCTTAGGGTAAAACCTTAAGAAAATAATGGGGATGGGTAATTGGGTTGATTGTTTGCTGATTACATATAATAATTATATTATTGTGGGTTGAAGACCCTATATGCTCACCAGGCTCCCAAGCCTGACCCACTCAGTTTTCTTTTCATTACAGGTAATGGCACAAGGGTATAAGTTGGTGGACTTGACGAGAGATTTTGGATTATAGATCAGTAGTTGAATAACTATTGTAAGGTCTATTTTATATTGTTTATGCTTTTGGTCTGTAACGAACATGACATCCCGAGTTTTTATTATTTAACGAAAATACATTCTTTTCGAGAAATGTTTTGATAAATGGTTATCATATTTTATTTTGGGAACAAATTCCGCAACCGTTTTCTTTAAACGATCACTCTTATTTTAAAAAAAAAAAAAAAAAAAAAAAACATAAGCAAATCGGTCTTTTCTGGCTGTGAAATTGAGGATGTCATAGTTTCCCTGACACCACATTCTTGTTTCATGGTTCAACTATAGAGATAATTTATATGTGAGATAACTATTAGCAATAATCTAAAATTCTAGTTTTTATTAATTTTATGTCATGAAATTAAATTTTCAAATCTATTTTTGTAGATGAAGGAAATTGAACTAGAAGACGTGCAATTCATTAATTGAAAGGAACTATCATTGATATTCTTTAAGAATGCATATGATTTTTTTTAGAATGTACATTGCAATATTCTTTAAGAATTCGTATTCTTTTATCATGTTTTTGTCTTTTTGTTTCTGCAATATTCTTTTAGATTGCACGTGACAAATAATGCAGTATATATTTCAAACAAATTCTTAAATAAGGTAGAATATAAGGTTGTGTAGTTACTTCAAAATATTGTATATATTCTTGTTTTATGTTACAAAAATGGTTGTTTTATGTTATAAAAATGGTTCATCGTTTAGTATTATTCTTTAAGAATGCAATTCATTTGTGAAATTATATTTCATTCTTAATTTTTTTTCATCTATTCTCATTCATTCTTAACAGATTATTATTATATATTTTTAAGGACGGTTGGAATATAGGAGACAATGAATGCAATTTAGATTTATTCTATAAGAATGTCTATTCTTACATTTGTAATTTGTTATAATAGTGATTATTATTTTGATGCAAACAGTTATTCTTCAAAATATTCATTTGTATTCTTTAACAATGTTGATTTAAAAAAAATCGCTTTAATGAAAGAAAAATGCGTGAAATGAATTTGAAAACAAATTTGAATGTGTTGAATGAAATTGGTCAAAAAAATCTAATGTGATTTTAATATGTTGAATAAAATCAAAGATTTCATTTATTTTTTATTAATTAATATGAATTAGTTTCCTAATATGTAGCTAATAATAAATTTCTCTCTTTTAATAATATGTCAATTTTGTTAGACAAAATTGCAAAAATGATCCCTGTGGTATGCAGATTTTTGAGGTTTTAATCCAAACCCTGAGTTTTTTGGATCCATGGTCCTTTTGGAGTGGTTTGTCTGCGGTTTTAGTCCCTGGACTTAACTCCTGTTAAATAAGATCTGTTAAACCCTCTCATGTGCCTCACACATGAGGGTAAATTCGTCATTTCATATGTAAGGGACAATTTTTGCATAAACAAATTCTACATTTACCACTAATCGATCCCAATTAACTTCACAAGCAAATGTTTATAAAATAGAAACTAACCAATAATTGTTTGATTTGTTGTAGAATACCATCAATCATAATCCAAACCAATTTTACCGACACCATCAGCACAACATCAAACCTATGGAGCTTTGAGTGACTTTTCCACATCAATCACAAACCTATATCTAACATCAGATTTCAACATACGATCCATTGTAGTGTTCACATAATCCATCAGAATGAGCTCTATATCAGGAGCCACACCATGCTTGCTGCAAAATCAAGCATTTCTTGAGTCTCTTTCAACCCTCCAATCGTGCTTCCACCAACAATTTTCCTCCCTGCATGTCACCGTCAATCAGTCCCCTTTATATAACATTATCTTATCAAACGCTACAAACTTTCATACACTAATTACTTACCTGTAATTAAAGAAAATGAAATAAGCTGAAGTGGCTTCTCTGGTGCACCCACAAGAAGAAGCTTCCCATGTGGTTTCAGCACACTTATGTGACATCCCCAAAATCACGGCCAGAAAAGACCGATTTTTGTTTATGCTTTATAAAAATCAGAGTACTTCATTTTATAAAAAGGTTGTGGAATTTGTTCCCAGAAAAACATGGTAAATACGTTATTAAAACATTTTCGAAGAAACGTATTTATTTCATTTTAAAATGTTTGGGATGTCATCGTTAATACCGAAACATAAGCATAAACAGAACTTACAATGATTTACACTAGTGATCTACATCTCTTTTAAATCTCTCAGTGTAATGTCACTTCACTTCGTCACCTGTGATATACATAAACTGAGTGAGTCAGGTTGGGAAACCTGGTGAGTACATAGGGTTTTCAACCCACAATAATATAATTACTATGTTCAATCAAACAATCAACCCAATTACCCATCCCCATTATCTTCTTTACTCTTTAAGGATTTAACCTAAGAGTCATCTATCCTGCATTCGTTTATTCCGAAGTCCCTTACCTCCAGGGTTATAGGACTGGCACTAAATCCATAGCTGCCAATGTTCGTTCATAAAGCACTAATTCCATAGCTGCTATGGTCTATTCATCAGGTACTAAATCCATAGCTACCAGTCTTTATCTAATAGGTACTAAGTCCATAGCTACCAATGTTCAACAGGTACTAAGTCCATAGCTACCAATTCCCAACAGGTACTAAATCCATAGCTACCAACGTTTAACAGGTACTAAGTCCATAGCTACTAGTGTTTGTCCCATAGGCACTAAGTCTATAGCTGCCAATGTATCATCTTCTATCTCTCATCATTCATCTACCCATCTCATACCCAATATATTCGTATATATAAAATACGTATACAGCTTAAATTCTTTAAAACATGTATAAAACGTTCATCCAGCATAGACAGCAAGTATTCAGATAATATGCACACATAGCACATACTTTATATAAAATACTTCATATCTATGTGTAAGATGAAAGGGACTATGCACTCACCTGAGAAGGTGGTGACTCGGTACTCGGACAACGCTTCGTTTACTTTAAAATAATTTCCTTTGACGAAACCTAGCATTATCACCACTAGATTTTAGTCTAATATTACCGTGACTAATTATTAGTCTTATTATTATTATTATTATTATTATTATTATTATTATTATTATTATTATTATTATTATTATATAAGAGTTTAAACAATACTTTCCAACTACTATGTATAGACAGGGGCCAGACATAAAACACCGGAGGGCAGGACCATTTTGGCGTATAGCACTTCTGAAATCCAACAACCCTATGCGGCCCTTTAAACCAGATTCCCCGTACCGCGAGTAGTTAAAAGATATTATAACGACACTTATATAAGTCATAATAATAGATCAAATATTTATTATAAATTTATAATAACAATACTAATTTTAAATATAAACTATATTTAAAATAGGGTAAGCATAACTTACTTTCAAGGGGATTTTAGCTAGGAGTCGGGCTCTGCAGGGGCAGAACTTCGTCGCTGAATCTTTCTAAGAAAGATTCGTGCAGCGCTTCAGCGCTCACCTTACTATACTAAAACTACAGAAAGAGAAGTCGAATCACGAGGGACCGAAATGCTCGGGGGATAAGGAGAGAAAGACTCTTGAATCAAGAGAATGGTGCAAGAAATATGAGAGCCCAAGGCTCTTATTTATACTAATTGAATTTTCAAAAACTACCCTCCATAATTACTTAATGACCTTTTAGTTATATAAACAACTAAACACCCCTCTATAATACTATTTTAAATGGATTTAATGATATTTGTACTAAACTAATGTCGAAAGAACTCAACATTAGTCTTATAATGACCGCATCGTCGATACCTTTCTAATGATATATACATATGTATATATATATATATATATATATATATATATATATATATATATATGTACGTATACATGATTTATACTTTATTTTAATACGTAAATATGCTATTATAATTTGTAACTCGTTCATACGAACTCTGTTTTTGACGTTCTTTATATCCACGCGTAGGTGGAGACGTACTCTACAACTTTCTTTTAGACTCCGTCGGCTAATTTTGAATTTATTTTTAAAGTTATATTTTTAACAGGCCGGGACATGATTGGTCCGTTAAAATCTCATAACTTCTTTATCCGATGTCCATTTTCGTCTGTATTTTTATCGTTATGCTACTAATAACGAGATCTTCGATTCTTGTTTAGGTTGTGTCGGCTAAAAATCAATTGATCTAAAATTCGAATTTCGGGTTGTACGCCGCTAATCCGAAACTTCGAAAAATCATAACTTCTTCATACGAAGTCAGATTTGGGCGTTCTTTTTATCGATGTTCTTAGTTTAACATATTCTACGACTTTTGTTTAGAGCACTAAGGCTAAATCTCTCTCTATCATAAATTTACTATTTTACGCTTCCCGGCGCCGTGCCGGTTCCGACGCGAAACTTCAACGGGTCATAACTTCTTCGTTATAACTCGGATTTCTGCGTTCTTTATATGTACGGAAACCTTGTGACATATTCTACAACTTGGTTAAGATTATTTATTCTAAATAATCTTTTTGTAGAAAATTCGTTTTCGACCCCTATTGCTTCTAAATTGACTAGCCCGGATCTGCGGGCGTTACAACTTAACAATGGAGCATTAATAGCGTGAGTTGCAAAAACCGTGTCAATGATCCCATCCAACAAACTCATTGCAGACTGATTCAAAAAAAGAAAAGACCCATTTATCTAATCAAAGTCTTGATACACAAATCAAGAAAAGATAACAAATCTTGACAAATTACTTGCATCTGGTCTTGATCTTTGCTGACTATAAAACAATCAGCTTTAAGTCCTTGAAGTGCTTCTTGCCCTTTCGTGCTGAAAACAATAACTTCTGCACCAAAAGCTTTCACCATCTTCACAGCGACATGACCAAGTCCACCAAGACCAACGACACCAACTTTCATCCCTGGTTTATCTAGTCTGAAGTATCCGAGAGGGCTGTAAGTGGTGATTCTGCCACATAGAGGGCTGTAAGTGGTGATTCTGACACATAACAGTGGTGCACCTGTATTAAGCGGCAAGTTTTCCGGCCACCGGAGGACGAATCTCTCATCTGCAACTATGTGATCGGAGTACCCACCATATGTCTTTGTGCCATCGTGGTAAGGGGAAGCGTAAGTGAGAATCTGTTTTGGGCAGTAGCATTCGAAATCATTAGCACAATTGTTGCAAGATCCGTATGATCCCACCAAGCATCCAACTCCGCCATTGTCGCCGACTTCGAATTTCTCGACTTTGCTTCCTAATTCTGTCACAACACCCACAATCTCGTGGCTACATTCATCAACATGAAGATTAAAATTCTTGCAATGATGTTTGTAGAAGAAAGTAGAAGATCGATGTTGAAGAAAAGCATAGGTTTTAGGAAATCTTAGTGGAAAATCAAATCGAGATAAATGGAAGAAAGCATACCTGGAATAACGGGATAACTCGTCAATCCCCATTCGTTTTTGGCAAAGTGAAGATCAGAATGGTCCCTTCATATATGAAATGACCAATTTACCCTCACATGTGAGGCACATGAGGGGCTTAACGGATTTTATTTAACGGGAGTTAAAGTCCAGGGACCAAAACCACAAACAAACCACTTCAAAAGGACCATGAATCCAAAAAAGTCGGGGTTTGGACTAAAACCCCAAAAATCTACATACCACAGGGACCATTTTTGCAATTTTGTCATTTTGTTATTATAATTAATTAAGTCAAATTTTATAGTAAATGTTATTCCTTTATAATAACATGTACCTTAAGATCACAATCATTCATTCTTTTAATCTAATGGCCTCAATTTGATCACACGTTCACACAATATTTATCATTCACATTTGATCCTAACCATATATATATATATATATATATATATATATATATATATATATATATATATATATATATATATATATATATATAAGTTTAAATGAGAACTACTAAAGGTTAAGAACCCTAGTAACCATTTTCATTAATGGTATTTATGTCAAAATAAATTTCTAACATTACATACCTAATAATTAATTATAGTAAAATATGATATTTGAACTAACTCTAGGGTGTACTATGTTAATATGGTTATAATATAAGGACCATTAGTGTAAATAGGCATATCATCACTTTTAAAAAGAGATCGTATAGTGAGCTTTTTTTCTCCCGTAGTTGTTTTTCTTCACTCTTCCCCTGTTTCTTCACAATCTTCCCATAACAAACTAATATCCACAAAATTAATTTCTTGAAATCATTTTTTGTTATTTCTTTAGGAATTCTTCTACAATTTTTTTTCAAAATTATTAGTTATACTTCTAAAAATGCACAACCTTAACAAACATTCATCAGATTTTTAAGAACTAGATTATCTCTCTTTTTTTTTTTCTGATGATATCCACCATTTTCACTGTCATCGGTGGCGGACTTCCTCTGGAGAAAACCACTGCCAGCTAGCATTGTCGTCTGACCTACTACTGCCGCTACCAGATCGCTAGATTTCAAGCCTCCAGATATAGCTGAACCTCTAATATGTCATGAACTACCAGATCTACCAGATCATATGATTTATTTAGATCAGATCTAGATCTGGTCGGATTTTCACCCGTCAACGAGCACCGACACCTTCATCGCACCATAACCACAACCTTATGGTACCACCAACGATCGCCACCACCTGCAATCATTCTAGATCTGCATAGGTCTGGTCAGATATGTTTAGATATGACATTTAGATGCGATTTCATTAAGTCTTTTGTTTTCCGACGAGCTTCTTTGCCTCAGATCGTTAGGAGAGTCACTAACTGTCAGCATCATCTCAGATCTAAAGCCAATACATACCGATTTCTCGGATTTGGCGAGATTTGTTGTGTTTGGTGTATTTTCAAACATAAGTCTGATGTTTACAAAGCATTTCCTGGTGGCCAGTTGTTGTTCCGCTACCACCTCAGATCTGAAAACAATGTGCACACAAGTGTTTGATGAAATGCCTAAACGAGATCTGTAAGATTTATATTATAAATAAGTGTTTAAAATTTTGTATTAAGCTGTGAACTAGTGTCTAATGTATATTATACTATGAATTTTGTTTTTTTTATGCATTAGTCTTTGAATTAGTGTCTAAAATGCTAAATTAAAAAACATTGAGTTAAACTTTGAATTAGTGTCTAAAATATTGAATTAAACTTTGAATGAGTGTGTGATATATTGTATTAAACTGTGAATTTTAATTTTTTTATCCAGATCTAATTTTTAAATTGTAAATGAGTTGTAAATGTAATGTATTAAACTATGAATATGTGTTTTTTATGTATTAGTTTGTGAATATATATGTTATTAAGTTGTGAATGCGTATTTTTTTGATGCACTGAGTTGTGAATTAGTGTCTGAAATATTAAATTAAAGTGTCAATTAGTGTCTGAAATGTTGAATTAAACTGTGAATTCTGGTTTTTTTTTTTTTTTTTTTATGCAGATATGATTTTAGAGGGAAGGATGTTGACGGTGTTGGCACCGATGGCTGGTGGTCGAGATGATTGATGGTAGTGAATAAAATTCACAACTTAATATAATAATTTCACAATTTAATACACAAATATGTTTGATGGTAGTGAATAAAATTCACAACTTAATATAATAATTTCACAATTTAATACACAAATATGTCTCCATATATGAACGTATAAATGTACGCTTTAAATTGAGAATATGGTTGTGAATATATAACGTTTGTTTATTAAATTGTGAATTTATTGTATTAAGCTGTAAATTTTGTATATAAAATATGAATTAAGTTGTAATTTGATTGTAATAAACTATGATTTTTTTTATGAATTTTTTGTTAGCTTCTGAAATATGAGAAGAAGGATTCATTATACACATATATGATTTTCTCTAATATAAATTAATTATATAAAAATTAAAGTGTGAATATTGTGTAAATTAAATGTTGAAAGAAGCATTGGCTTCCAGATTAAAATGTATAAATATAGGTTTTAAGTTAAGAATATGATATTTCTATATACTAAATTGGAAATTTATTATACTAAATTGTGAATTTTATTTATTAAACAGTAATTGACAATATTAAGTTTTGAATTGACTGAATTTTGCTTTGATTTATTGTATAAAATTTGTGTAAAAATATGAATGATGTATGTATGAATTTTTGTATTAACGTTCTGATGAATATATTTATTTTGTGTGTATAAGTATGTAAGAATGCATTATTTTTATAGCTATTTTGTATTAAATTCAAAATGAGTGAATTAATAGGTTTATTAAACTATGAATGTAATATCTAACATCTCATCGTGTGACTATATATACAGATCTGATTTGGAAGTAAGACTGGTTGCGACATTGGTGGAGGTGGCTGGTAGCGGCATGTGGTGGTAGTAGAGTTGGGTTTGAGTTCTCTAAATTTGATAATTAGTATAAGATGGATTGGATTATGTTGTGAATTTTGTGTATTAAACTGGCAATTGACTATATAAAGTTGTATTTTATATAAAATCTGTGTTAAAATATAACTGAATGTGTGAATGAAAATGTTAGACTAAAAAAATTATAATTTTGTCGTTTTCTTACCAAAAAGATAAAAGTTATAGTTTGAACATATTTGATAATATTCACAATATATATTTACTTATGAAATGTAGGTTCTTAACATTTTATGGTTCTCATTTGAACCATTCCCTATATATATATATATATATATATATATATATATATATATATATATATATATATATATATATATATATATATATATATATATATATATATGTTATAATGTGGATGGGCAACTATTGTGTGGACGTATGGATAATGATATTTGATGAAAATTACCAAGAGAATATGTTGTTTAATAATGTGAATATGTTCAATCTCACAGAACTATTGTTATTTTAATGGATTCTCGCCAATTCTAATTCAATTTTGTTCTCATTCATCTTTTTTTATTTATTTTAATTCTTACAGAATACGACTCAATAAACATCCTGATAACATTCTGACAGAATGAAAATAACTAAAAAATGTGTATAATAACCTTATAGACGATTTATTTAGTGAAAATGCTTAATAATTAAAATAACTTTATAAGATTGAACATATTCATATTATCAAACAACAAATTTTATTTGTAATTTTCATATAATAACATTATCCACACGTCCACACAATAAATGTCAGTCCACATTTGAACCTAACTCTCTTTCTTTCTTTCTCTCTCTCTCTCTCTCTCTCTCTCTCTCTCTATATATATATATATATATATATATATATATATATATATATATATATATATATATATATATATATATATATATGTACTAGAAAAGTTTAAGGCCCATGCTAAGCAAGACCCACAAAAGGTAATTTAGGTATTTTTTTTACAGTTGTTTAAATTATTGGATATAGTTTATTAGCTGTCAATAGTTTATCTAGATTACTTTATTAGTTAGTTTGTTATTTATTTATCTCTTTGTAACCTATATAAAGTCATTTTGGTGTATTGAATAAACAGAGCATTATTCCAATTCTCTATTATTGTTTTTTAGATGGTATCAGAGCCTGGTTGTTTACAACCCTAAAGCGTACCTGCTTCCGTTAAAACATGACGGGAGAACCAAAAGACAAAGACAAGAATGGAGATGGATCCAGCAGCGGGTTCGATCACAGCTCTCCCTTTTATCTTCATCCATCCGACATACCGAAACAGCTTCATGTCAATGAAGTACTTACCGACGCAAACTATTCCGATTGGAGGCAGGAGATGGAGAATTTCCTGTTTGCCAAAAATAAATTTGAATTCGTTGATGGTACAATTCAGAAACCAGAAAAGGGAACGAAAGAATACATGCCTTGGATGCGATGTGACGCTATGATCAAGGGCTGGCTCACCACTGCAATGGAGAAGGGCATACGCGATAGTGTGAAATATGCTAACACGGCTGAACAAATCTGGAACGACCTTCATGAACAATTTAGAAAAGAGAGTTCGCCAAGAGCATATGAATTGAAACAGAAGATTGCAGCTACACGTCAAGATGGTAACTCTGTTTCAGTTTATTACACAAAATTACGTACACTGTGGGATGAAATATCCTCAATTCTCCTTTTTCCAAAATGTTCCTGTAAAGATTGCTCCTGTGAAATTGGTAAACAATTAGTTGAATTCCAAGAAAAGGAACGTTTGTATCAATTTCTAATGGGTTTAGATTCACAATTTTCGGTAATTAAAACACAAATTCTGGCAACAAAACCCATCCCGTCAATGGGGGTAGTGTATCACCTAGTCGCCGAGGATGAAAGACAGAGGGCTCTATCTGATGACAAGAAAACTCCACCTGAGTCGGCTGCATTCAAGACCTTTCAGAAGGGAGGTAACCCTAAACCGATGAATAAAGAAATGAATCCCAAATGGGCGAACAAGGAAGTGAAAGATAAAAGGGACGAGTATTGTACCTTCTGCAACAAGAGTGGTCACAAGCGAGATGGTTGTTTCAGATTGG